CACACACACACACACACACACACACACACAAATAAATAAAATTAAAAAAAAATGTTTCAGTGGACACCCACTCTGGGCTCTTCCTGGAAATCAAGCAGCTATACTCCACTTCATTTCCAATAACACTCTCCTGACTTTCTCTTTTGGTTTGCAACTATGTTCCTCAAAGTTATGAGACCACAAACTCTGCTTATCTGACACCAAATGGATCGGGGGTTGTACTATTAGTGTCTGATGCAAATCCCCATGTTGAAATCTTCACCTCTAGCATGACAGTATCAGCACGTGAGTCCTTTGGGACGAGAACTGATGATAAGGGCAGAGGGCTCCTGAGTGGGATTTTCCTCTTACTTATGAGAACCAGAGAGCTCCTTTGGCTCCCTGTTAGGTCACAGAGAAAACAGCAATCCAGGGACCTAGAATTAGGTCTTCCATCTCCTTAAAAGACACCAAATCAGTTTTGTTTTGTTTTGCTGGTACAGGGTCTCAATACACAGTTCAGACTTGTCGTGATCCTCCTGTCTCAGCCTCCTCAGCACTGGGATTGCAGCAGTGCATCACCAGGCCTGGTACTGGGGCAGGCACAGCATAGGGTACCAGGGATTGAACCTAGGTCCTTGTGCTTACCGGGCAGACACTTAGACCACTGAGCTATCTCCTCAGCTCAAGACACCCAATATTTTCATCCTTGATTTTTTAGCTCCTAGAACTCTGAGACAAACTTCTAGTCTATATAAATATATGAGATACTGTTACAGCAATAGGGTTAAGCAGATGTCTTCAAGCAAAGTTGCATAATAGAATCAATAGAGAATATAAAAAAGAGGGAGGAAATGACATTATGAAAAATGAACATTGAATAATTGCCAAACACAGTGAGAAGCATTTTAAATAAAATATCTTATTTAATTAATGCAGTTATTCATGAAAATATGCTGATCATTTCTTCTTGTTCTTATACAGAAGGAGAGTAATGCTTTGGAGAGCTACTTAACCAAGCTGCAAAAGTTGAAAGGCCGAAATTCAAGATATTTGATTTAAAAAACTGTTTTCAAAACACACGTTGGAATATAGCAATAATTTATAAAATGAATACAGTATTTTAAGTGTGTAATGGTGCTAGGTATCTTACTGGACATTTAAAATTCACATCAAATATAGGTAGTAGATGCTAGAGTGATGAATAAAAAAGGTACTAGGGATAAATAACTGGCTCAGGTTCATAGAGAAGTGCTCAGTTTTCAATGTATGTTTCTCAACTTCAAAGTTAACTGTATGTTTTCTTTTAAATTTATGAAAAGCAGAACAAAATTTCATAATAAAATAATAAGAGTAACAATAGTTATTACATAGTATATTGTTATCTTCCAAATAACTAGAGGATGAGACATGGAAACCACTCTGTTGGTTGATTCCTTGGCTTTGAAGAAGGTTTTTAATTAGATATGATTCAATTTGTTGATTGTTGATATTATTTCTTGTGCCAATAAAGACTTGGGTGAAGCTTTTGTCTTCAAGAGTTGTGTCTATTTTACCTCCCAGTAGATTAAATGTTCCTGTTTTAACTTTTAGATATTTGAATCATTTTGTTTTCATCTTAACACATGGTGAGATGTGTGGGTCTAGTCTTATTCTGCATATGGCTATCCAGTTTTCCCAGAACTACTTATTAAAGAGACTATCTTTCCTCAAACATAAGTTGTTGATTCCTTTGTAAAAGATCAAATATTTTTCTGTGGCTGGGAATGTCTCTGCTTATTCTATTCATCTTCATTGATAGACATGCCTGTTTTTGTGCCAGTGGCATGCTATTTTTTATTTTTAGTATGATTTTAAATAACCATAGATTTATAATGTAATTTCAAGTCTGGGATTGTGATGCTCCCTGCTTTGCTTTGGATAATCAGGATTGTTTTGTTAATCTCTGTCTCTTCTGACACCATATAAATTTTAAGATTTTTTTCTTCTCTGTAATTGATGACATTGGTGTTTTGATGTGGATTGTGTTAAATGGGAGATATACCCATTTTAATTATATTAGTTTTGCCTGACCAGGAGCTAGAGATGTGTTTCCATTTTCTTATAATCTCCCGATTTCCTTTTTATGTCTGATGAAATTTTCATCGCAGAGGTCTTCCACTTGCTTACTTTAATATCTAATTGATTATATTTTTGATGTTACTATGAATGGTATTGCATTGCTAATTTCTTTTTCAGTTAGTTAAGTATCATTGTACCTAAATGCAATGGAATTTTATGTGTTTACTTTGTATCCTCCTGTAGTGCTGAATCAAGTCTAGGAAAACTTATGGTTAAATGCCACAAAATAGGTGGCAATGCCTTTCTCATATGTCTGTTGTCATGCCCAAGGGCATCTTCCATCCTTGTCAAAGGAAGTGCTAAACTTCTTCCTTTTCATACAACACCATGAGTTTGATTTTGATAATCTTCCTTATAGAATACTATCTTCTATGTCTTCTTAATAAGGCCATTGTGAAGTCTACAGCATTGCAAAATTGCAACTCTATACACATTGACAACACAAGAGCCAGGAATGAGCTAGGTGATTATGTGTATTACTTAATCAAGCAAACTTGAAGTTGTATGTAAGAGCATTTTATGACTTCTACTATGCTATGTAAATGTGATACAGTTGGTTAAGTGCTATTAATTTTGCAACTTGTTATGAATAGGCCAGAAAACTAGAGAATATTGGGAGAGAGAAAAGAGAAACTTTCTACCCTGGAGAATAGCGGTAGAAGATGGCTTCCAGTCCCTTGAGATAGCAGCCTCAATGGGAAAACCACAGGCGCTTGCAGCAATTTCATCTTGACCTAAGCAAAGCTGAATCATATGTATCTGTCCATCTCCATCTATAATGGAATCTTTTCCTACCTAGCACATCTACAAGTATGTGGGGAAAAATTCAGACCATGTCAGTCTAGTCTCAATTGTAGCATAGCTAAAGCTGATGGGTTTCCATGCTGATTCCTTGCTCTCTGAGACAGCACTGACTCATACTGGTTCATCCCACCAGAAAGAATTTTTAAGTTTTCAGGGAGCTGAATGATTCAAATGCTGAAATCATTCAGAGTTCACATAGGTTTCTATGGCCAGAAATATTTTATAACTGGTACAAATCGGTAGTTCTGTACATTTGATTCTACCAGAAATAACTGGACTGCTTTTTGACAATAGAAATCCCTGAGATTCTATTTCATCATTCTTATTAGACATGATTGTAATGTGAGAGGTTTATGTTCCTGCATAGAACAACATTGTAAGTTTCTCTTAGAAACACCGATCTCTTGGCAGTATTGTTTCAGTTCATTTCTTGGCATAATCAACTGCCAACATGCTTCTTGAAACAGTGAGTTTTGTTAGCCAAAACTTCTCAAATCTTACTTTTCCTATTTCAACTTTCTCTTAAGTTGCTGAAATCAGTTAACTTAACTAGGATTTCAAACCAGTTGTTAATATCATAACTTGCTATTTTGTTAGTTGATTTGATTAGCACCATGCTCTGAACAAAAGTTACTTAGTATTAATAAATGCCAGTTATGTGCCAGATACATTTTTATTAATTCACATACATGTCTGCTCATTGAATTTTTAGAACACTAAGAAATACATTACTTTCACCATTGTGTAGATGAGCAATTTATATTTGTAAAGATAAGAGATTTTCCTATGTTAAACAATTAGATGGAATAGAATATGGTTTTCAATTCAGGTTAGTTGGATTCCAAAGACCATTTTCATTCTATTAAGCCAGATTGCCTTGGTTATTTTTATAGCAAGACAAATATTCAGGACTGGTTTTAAATTAGTTTGAAAGTCATCTTAAAGCTTGTGTACATTCACCATTGCCAAAGACACTCAATCTTTATGTAAAAAGCCTGTAATAATGCATATAAATTATCTTGCACTCAATAAGCGCTATGCCTCCTCCACTTTCCCTCTAGCATCTGTGATATAGTTTATGATAGATGTTTGGAAGGTTGGATGACAGATGGGGGCCAACATGTCTAGTTTCAGATTACAAATTTAAAATTGGAGATTAAAATCATGTACCTCAGGAGTAGGGATTGGAAATCTTCATGTCTGGGAGTTGCTCTGATTCTCATCAAGACTCAGTTTAGAAAAAAAATTCTTTCCATTTTAATTAGCACTTCTTTGAGATAGAAATACCACTGTACCATTCATCTAGATGAAAAGTGGAAGATGTTTTTCATGATAATAATGAGATGATTTCTTGGCCATCAACATGGCCTCCAAGAGCCATCTGTTTCCAGAGTCAGTGAGCAGTAAGGATTTATGAAGTACTCCCAAAAAACTGTATGACAGGGAAGGGCAAATCCAGCTGCTGCTTATTTTCATCAAACATCTTGATCTGTTCTTCAAACATTGCAAATTTGATGAAACCCAAACACAGTTCATCAAACACTTTTCTTCTGTAATTGGGAAAATGATTTGAATGTTAAGAGAAATTGCAAAAAATGGTTCTGATTCACTTGTATTTACATAAAGTCACCTATGTTGTAGATCTTACCCAGGCCCCATATCTTCAAAGTCTGCTAAAACAAACAAACTGGAACATGAGCGTGAATTTTGCACACACTAACACAAACACACAAATATATATTTGCCTCTAATTGGTCCTGAAGTGTTCAGAATTTGAACCTTCATAAACTGTGCAGTTGTTTCCCTATAATAAATGCACTCGTTTCAACTACTATTCAATGAATAACACCATGATTGCTAATAATTATACTTAAAATGTATTCACTATTTTAAAAATCCTTTAAGTACTTCTCACAAAGTATTGCTGTTTAATAGAGCTAAAATGGTGACGTTTAAAGCTATCTCTAGATGACAAAATCCAACTCTTTCATTTCCAAAAAATCAACTCTGAAGTATAATTTGAATACAAGAGTCACTAAAATTTAAGTGTATTAAGAAATGTGTGAGTTTTAGCAAATCGATACACTATTATCATGTAGGAGGTCTCCACTCTATAAGTTCATCACAATCATCACGTGTGGAATTTTTATCAATGAGTCTCCATTATTTTTTTTCCTGTTCAACCTTAATTATTCCTGGCCTAATTTACTCTTGATCTTTTTCAAGTCAGATTATATTGGTCTTTTCAAGAGTTTCGTATAAATAGTGCTCTGTAGATTTGATTTTTTTATTTGACTTGCTTTTTTTGTCATATTTTTGAGATTCAGCCATTTTCTTGTCTACATTCCAAGCTCATTTAAATTTATTATTGAGTAGATTTCCATTGTTTTGATAATCTACTGGATATTGACTTCTTCTATTAAAGGGGATTTCCCTGCTTTTGGTGTATTGCTCATGAAGTTCATAAATTGTTTTTAAACTTTTGTGTGACTTTTCTTGGAACTATTTAAATAAAAGAGAAGACACAGGTGAAAACTCAGGTTACCCAAGCTTAACTCACTATGTCTCAAGTTAGTGTCTAGGCCCGAGTTGACCTGGGCATCTAAGGTATCCTGGAGGATGATTTCAGCTTCCCTGATGATGACTTTGGATAAGTCACCCAATGTCCCTGACCCTCCATCACACTGTACTGAGGGTACATTTTAGTCTTTACACTTTCTGTAGAAGCAAGAGGAGTTGTAATCAAGGACAGAATAGTGCTCCAAAAAATAAATCAAAAATGAAGCAAAACACATTTTCAGATGTATACGTTAAAAAGTAGTGATCAAAAGTAGGAGGAACTCTTGAAGACATAGGGGTAGGAAAAGACTTCATGAACAGAAATCAAATCATAAGGGAAACAGTTGCAAAAATTAACAACTGGAACTGCTCTGACTGAGAAGTTTTTTCATGTCAAAAGAAATTATCAACTAAGTGAAAAGGCAACCCACAAACTTAGAAAAAATCATGACAAATAAATGCTCAGACAAAGGTCTGTTCTCTAGAATTTGTAAAGAACTAAAAACACTAGGGCACCAAAATTTAAAGACCCAATCCAGAAATGGGCATCCAAGACGGATACACACTTCTCAGAGGATGAAATTACAGAAGCGAATAAATATATGAAAAAATGCTCCACATCACTAGC